TATTAGAACCAGAGGGCAAAATAGAAATTGAAAGAATCCACAGATCTCCTCCTGAAAGAGATCCCCAAAGGAAAACTCCTAGGAATATTGTAGCCAAATTCCAGAGTTCCCAGGTCAAGGAGAAAATATTACAAGCTGCCAGAAGGAAACAATTCAAGTACTGTGGAAACACAATCAGGATAACACAAGATTTAGCAGCTTCTACATTAAAGGACCACAGGGCATGGAATATAATATTCTGGAGGGCAAAGGAGATAGGATTACAACCAAGAATCACCTACCCAGCAAAACTGAGTATAATCCTTCAGGGAAAAAATGGTCATTCAGTGAAATAGAGGACTTTCAAGCATTCCTGATGAAAAGACCAGAGCTAAATAGAAAATTTGACTTTCAAATACAGGACTCCAGTGGAACATGAAGAGGTAAACAGGAAAGAGAAATCATAAGAGACTTATTAAGATTGAACTGTTTACATTCCTGCATGGAAAGATGATATTTGTAACTCATGAGAACTTTGTCAGTATTAGGGTAGTTGAAGGAAAAAAATTATATGTATGTATAGATAGATAGATAGATAGAGGGCACAGGGTGAGTTGAAGATTAAGGGGTCATATCTGGAGAATAAAATTAAGGGATGAGAGAGGATGATACTCAAAGAAGAAAGAGAGAGGTAGAATGGGGTAAATTATCTCACAAAAAAAAATCAGAAAAGTCTCTCACAGTGGAGGGGAAGCAGGGGAAGGTGAGAGGGAATGAGGAATCTTATTCTCATATTTGGCTTAAGGAGAATAACATACACATTCAATTGGGTATGGAAATCTGTCTTACCCTACAGGAAAATAGGGGGAGAAGGGGACAAAAGAGCAGGGGGATGATAGAGAGGAGGACAGATTGGGAAAGGGTAATCAGAAGCAAATACTTCCGAGGAGGGACAGGGTCAAAAGAAAGAATAGAATAAGTGGGAGGGCAGGATAGGATTAAGGGAAATAAAGTTAGTTTTTCACAACATGTCTACTAAGGAAGTGTTTTGCATAACTGCACATGTACAACCTATATTGAGTTGCTTGCCTTTTCAATGAGGGTGGGTGGGGAGGGAGGAAGGAGAAAATTTGGAACTCAAAGTTTTAAAAACACATGTTTTAAAAAAAATGTTTTCACATGTGACTGGGAAATAAAAAATACAGGAAATGGGGTACAGAAGTCTATCCTGCTCTACAGGAAAATAGAAGGGGAAGGGATAAGAGAAGGGAGGGGGAGAGAGAGAGAGAAGGCAGACTAGGGGAAGGGGTATTCAGAATGCATGCCATCTTGGGGTGGGGGGAGGGGTGAGAAATTTGGAACTCAAAAACTTGTGGAAGTGAAGGTTGAAACTAAAAATAAATAAATTTATATTAAAAAAAAGATGTCATTTTCTTCAGTATTTTTTTATGCCTCTTTAGTGGTAATTCTCTTTTCATAATTGTCTTGCATCACTCTCATTTCTTTTTCCAGGCTTCCTTGTAATAATCTTATCTATTGCTTTGGCTCTTCCAGGAATTCTTGTTGGGCTTGTGTCCAACCTGCATTTTTCTTTGAGACTTTGCTTTTAGTTATTTGCACATTGTTGCCTTCTGAGTTTCTGTCTTGATTTTCCTGGTCACCATGGTAGATTTTTATGATCAGCTTCTCTTGTTGTTGTTGTTGTTGCCTGGTCATTTTTTGAGTCTACCTCTTGACTCTGAATTTTATGTTAAAATTGGGCTTTGCTCACTTGGGCATGGGGAGGTACTCTCCCAAACTTCAGGCTTTTTCTTCCTGTTGCTTTCAGATCTATTTCTAGGAATCTGTAAGTATTCAGTGCTTCCAAATTGGTGTAATTCAGGGTGAGGTGTGGTCAATATTTTCTTGGTCTGTGCTCTGGTCTGTACCCAGGAAGGGACCCTGCTCCTCTGCAGCCACAGTCACTCTTCTCTGCCCTGGAAATGCAACCCAGAACTGTGTATGCTCAATGGAGTTATCAAACAATGCCTGGTCTGCTCTCAGTGCCAGCTTGTGGTCCCCTTATTGTGGGCTGAGAGCTCCTGAATCTGCTGTCACAGCCACCTTCAAGGACTACCACTGGTGTTGCTGCTGTGTATGCACCAGGCCAGCCCCTGGTATCATAGACCTCTCTTTCAGACCTCCTAAATTATCTTGGGCTGAAAAGAAATGTCTCACCCTGACTATACTGCTCTAGAATTTGATTTGATACATTATTTTAAAGTTGTGTGCAAGAGAATATTGGGAGAGTTTGACTGGGTTGCTACGCCATCATCTTGGCTTCACTTTCTCCTTCAATGTGATTTAAAGAAAAAAAAGATAATATCATAGGATGAAATAATGTAATTATCTAGGTATTGGATGGATGGATTTGGAGAATACCTATAAAATATTGCCATTTCTGTTCCCACTTCTCATCCTGAATTAAATTTCTTTAGAATATTTTCAAATTATGATTTCTATATTGCTTATTTTACTTTTTGGTTTTCATAAATACTTCCTTCCTGAGAAAAGATGTTGGAAGTTTTGTCCTGAGGAATATGTTCCATGTTGCCATTGCAAGATCCTTTATCGGAGGAGTAAGGCAGGAGAGGATAGTGTTGGTATCCACCTGTACACACACTGAGTCAGTAAGTAGACATAAAAACAAAAAAGAAACATAACTCCCAGCTTTGTGAACTTCTACATTCATTTTAAAAAAAAATCTCAAAGTGTATCAGTGGGAGAGGGAGAAGTTGATACTCTACCAAATGATTTTTCTACCTAGCAGTACATCAACCAGGTAATGAGGTGTTAAGGCATTAAAGGAAGTGCAAAAATATGTCCAGGTGCTATTAACCTTCCTATAAAGGTGTTCTTCCTGTTAGAATTAGAAGGACAGGTGGTCATTTGTTAGATGAAAATTAGCCTTGTCAGGAGAAAGAGAGGAGGAAGGGGTGGAAAAACGAGGAAGGGAAATTCCTCCTCTCAACCCTACATTCCAGGCTATGGAGTTTTGCTACAGAGCTAATTACCATCAGGTGACACCACACCCAAGAGACCCAGATTTGGAAAGGGGAGAGACAGGAAGCATTTCAAGGAAAAGTGACCTAAGTAATTGAGTATCAAGCTGTGAAGAAAAGCAGACTCTGGGAAACAAATCGAACAGCTCTTAGTTTCTGGCATGTCTACTATATCAAACACTTCTTCCACATTGGTCTGAACCAGATAATTGTTCCCTTTGTTGATCTCTCTACCTTCTGAAAGATGAAATTATCAGCAGAATAATTTAAGCATCTACTGGATGATTTGTTTTTAGCAAGAAAGGAACTCCATAAGATGTCTACATTGAAGACTCTGGCTCTGTACTCTGTGATACTGACCTATACAAGGAACTGATCAGTCATTTCCTATATCTGACTAGGTGGTCATAGTATACTCCTTCCACGATACTAATTTTGTTTATTCCTCTCTGTTGATCTTTACCCAAATATTGTCATCCAGAGAGATACCTATCTTCTTAGTTGAGAATGCCTTCCATCTAATGTCATCTTCAAATGCTCACTCTCATTCCCTTCACATAGCCAGTTTATTGTCATATCTTGTTCCTATCTACACAACCTCTCTTGCATGCTTCTTTCCACTCACACAGCCACCACCCCACCCACCATCATAACCTCTTATTTCGACTACTGAAATAGTCTCTTTATTGGTCTCACTGACTCAAGCCTCTCCCTACTCCTACCCATCCTCTATACAGGTACAAAAATTCTTTTCCTCCAGTGAAGATCTGACCATGTTAGCTCCTCCAATAAGATCCACTGGTTCCTTATTTCCTCTAGGGTCAAATGTAAATTCCTTTGTTTGTCATTTAAAGCTTTCATGACGTAGCCCCATCCTGTCTATCTATCCTTCTTTTATATTGCTCCCATCTATACACTCATAGCCCAGCCATACTTAGCTAACTAGCTGTTGCTCTTCACCCATGAGACTTCATCTCCCCTCCCCTGCCTTTGCATTGGTTTTACCCCATTTCTAGAATGTTCTCCCTCTTCACCTCTGCCACTTGGAATCCATGGCTTCATTCAGAACTCTGCTCAACTTCAACCTTCTGCAAGAGGCCTTTCCCAGTGTTCCCTTCCCCTCCCCTAGTTTGCTAATATCTTCCCCTCCAATGTTGTCTAATATTTGCTTTATACAGGTTTTGTATATATACACCTACATATATACACAGGTATGTATACATATATGCATTTTGTCTCCCATTAGAATGTAAACTCTTTGAGGGCAGGGAAAGTTTCACTTTTCTCTTTATATCTCAAGCTCCTAGTGTCTCACACATAGTAAACATTTACTACATGATTATTTGATGACTTATTTTAATATATATATTTGTGTGTGTGGGTGTGTGTACTTCATTGATCTAATCCATTCATGAGTCACAACCCAAAACATCTTAATGATACCATAAGTTCATATTTACCTGCTTTAATGGAGGTCTCTATTGATTACACTATCCAAGACATTAGCATGAGGTCACAAATATGGTTTTTGCCCATTTCCCTGGTTATTATCTCCTGTGCATCATTCAGCATCTCCTCTGCTATACCCATAATGTCACACCTGCTGGTTCTCTATCTGGCTTAGCAGTTTTAAGTGGGCAGTTCAACATGTCACCTTCAGTTTAATACTTCCTTAGTCAGATCAAGCAGATATGTTTTTCCCTCACCCTGGTTAAAAGAGTTCCTTTTAAATTACCTGTCAAAGGAGGATGAATAGGGATAAAACCAATCATCACTGGCAGAGGAATGAAGGAAAGATTCATTCCAAAATATGTACAAGAATATCTTCATTCTGTGTTTAGTCATTTCTCATTTGATTTTGAGGCAGCTTTAAATGTAACATTCTTATGCCTCTTAGAACACCACTTTTCTCTCATAATATTCTCTGGAAGAGTGAATAGTGAACCAAACACAAGTATAAGAGAGAGAAATGCTACTTACTATGAGGTTGATGTTCTATGGACATATTCCTGCTCCCAGTCACATGGGAAATGAAGCAGGTGGCACTAGACTCATTGAAGCCCTTCCAGGTACAGGTACTTTTCACAGTCACTGTCCTATTATGATGAGTTTCATTCACAGTGAAGCAATCTCCCTTTGGGACCCAGAAGATCTGGGCAGCTGGCTTCCCAGCAACAGCCTTGCACACAACAGTACCATCCCCCTCTTCAGACAGGGTTACTGCAGGGGGCACTACAGAAGGTGGAGAGAGAGATTTAGAGGGAGTTGGTGGTTCTGAGCAAGTTACCTGTTTTCCAGTCCTGGATCTGGTTACCCATAATAACCTGACAGAAGCTGTTCCTTACCTAATACACTGAGGTGATAGACAGTTTGGAAATTCCCAGCAGTGGTTACAAAAACACATTTATAAGATCCATCATTATCAATGGTCACTGGGCCTATCCGAAGTGTGTGGTTCCACTCTGGTCTAGATTCCCAGGTTATTCCTTCACCAGAGCAGTTGGTTTCCTTGGTTTCATTCTTGTCTTCTCTGTAAGCTATGATACAAGGAGTTTTGTCTCTGAGGAGTATTTCCCATGTTGTCATTATAAGATCCTTTATTGAGTGAGTAAAGCAGGAGAGGTTGGTCATGGCATTCACCTGTACAGACACTGATTTGGTAACAGGACATAAAAACAAGAGAATCATAAAGACTTTTCTGGAGCAGCTCCTCCTACCACCTCCCATTTGAAGTGGTATTTTCTCCTGATCTGACTCCCAGCTCTGTGAACTTACATATTCATGGAATGAACACTGAAGAAAATCTCAGATTAAGTTGTGGGAGAGAGATGAGTTGAGACTTTTCCAAATTATTCCCCCAGCACAGTTGATAAATCAGGTAATGAGGTGTGAAGGCATTAAAGGAAGTGCAAAGCCATGTTCAGATACTATTAACCTTCCTCTAGGAGTTCTCTTTGATAAAGTGAAAAGGGCAGCTGACCATCAGATTCGCCATGCCGGGGAGAGAAAGAGGAAGAAGAGGTGGAAGGAGAAAGAAGGAATTGGAGGAGAGAGAAATCCTCCCCCCACCAACCCAAACTTCCAAGCCATGGAGTCTTGCATCAGAGCTAATTGCCCAATAGGAGACACCATATCCAGCAGATACAAGCATGGAAAAGAGAAGGGCAGGAAGCATCTTCAAGGAAAAGTAGCCTGGGTAGCTGAGAGTTGAGCTGGGAAAAGGAATAACAGGAAGACAAAGTGAGTGCCCTATCCTCCAGCACAGACACCGTGCCCAGGAGAGCAGCAGCATGTGGACTTCTTGAAAAGAGAAGGGATAAGGGGCCCTGCCATGTTGGAGGCCTACATTATCCATGTGTGCCCCTCACAACCATAATTACTGAGTAAACAACATTACCATTGGTGGGGCATTGCTGTGACACCTGTCCAGTTGACTCGTTGCTTGGTGGAACTTGAGTTGCTGCTTGTGTGCTTTTATATTCTGAAAGGGGAGAAATACGCATTGAAACATCTTTTTCAATTAAAAAAAACTTGTTTTCATAATCTTCAAACTATTTTTAGAATGTAGCTGCCAATGATGTAATGAAATGAGATACAGCTCTAAGAAACATCTCAAGTCCACAAAATGTGCCCTCAATTGCCTCTTTTGATTTTAAATTCAATTCATTTCAAGAAATGTATTTTAAAAAAACTAGTGACCAAAAAAAAGGTGGAAAATACTCATTGATACATCATTCTTGAGTAAAAAAAAGTTTTATAACTTTTAGACTATTTTTGAAATATAGCTGCCAATTACTCTCATGAAAACATATCTTAGGAAACATCTCAAAGTCCACAAAATGTGCCCTCAGTCTCCCTCTTTACTTTAAAATTCAATTCATTTATATAAATGCCAGGGGGCGGGGGGGACTGCAGTGAGAGAAAAGCGAGGCAGTCCAAAGCTATTTCTCCCAGTTTAAGGCTATGCCAAGGCAACAACACCTTGCTTCTGTCTACCTCTCAGCTCTATGAACTTAAATACTCATGAAATGATCACTTCACATAAATCTCAAAATGAGTTGTGGGGGAGGGGAAGTTAATACCCCATCAAATGATTTTCCCATAACAGAAAGGCCAGGTAATTACGTACTGAGGAGCTATCAAAGTACAAAGACATGTCTATGCCTTGTTAATCCTCCTGTGAAAGAGTTCTCCCTGATAGAAGTAAGCAAATGGTAAATAAGGTATAAAACTTCACTGAAGAAAAAAAAATTCTAAAAATTAGAATTGGCTGAGTAAAAGCTTATGACTCTATAGAACACCAAGAAACAATAAAACAAAGTCCAAAGACTGAAAAAATAAAGAAAATGTGAAATATAGGGAAAACAACTGACATGGAAAATCAATCAAGGTAATAATTTAAATGTCATTAGACTTCTTGAAAGTCAGGAACAACAGCAACAACAACCCCCTCCAAAAAAAAAAAAGAGCCTTGACACAATTTTTTGAGAAATTATAAAGGAAAACTACCCAGATGTCTTAGAACCAAAGGGCAAAGGGTCCATTGAAAGAACCCACCAGTCATTTCCTGAAAGAAATCCCAAAATGAAAACTCCTGGGAATATTCCATTCAAAATCGAGAGCTCTCAGGTCAAGGAGAAAATAACTGAAAGTAACCATAAGTAAAGGATTCAAATACCATGGAACCAAATCGGGATGACACACGATTTAGCAGCTACCATGTTAAAGGAGTGGAGATCTTGAAATGTGATATTTTAGAAGGCAAAGAGCTAGGATTACAACAAAAAATAATGTATTCAGCAAAAATGAGAATAATGCTATTGAGAGGGGGGATTGATATTTGCTGAAATAGAGACCTTTCAAGCATTACTGATGAAAAGAACATAGGTTAAAAGAAAATTTGGAGTTTAAACACAAGAGTTAAGAGAAGCATAAAAAGATAAATATGCATGACAAATCATAAGAGATTTAACAAGGTCAAACTGTTTACATTCCTATATGAGAAGATGATACCTGCAACCTCTCAGAATCATATCATCACTAGGGCTGTTAGAGGGGGTCTACTTAGAGAGTATGAATGTGATTCTATTATATTGGGTTAATTTCAAAAGAAGAATAGAAGAGTGAGAAAGACAGGTGAATCTGAAGAAGGAGGAAGGGAGAGGAAGAATGAGGGAAATTATCTTATAAATGGAAGACAGAAGGAGGATTTTGTATTGTTAAAACAAGAGATAGAGAGTAGAGTGTGTTGCAAAATGGATAATTTCTATTAAATTAAATTTTAAAAGTTTTATACAAATAAAAAATATAGCCAAGATCACAAGGAAAGCAGAAAATTAGGGGAGAAATTTTATAGACAGTTTTTCAAATAAAGGTCTTCTGTCTTAATTATATAAAGAATTTTGTAAAATACATAAGAATATGAATCATTCCCCAATTGATTAATGGCCAAAGGATATGAAGAGGCAGTTTTCCAAAGAAGAAATCAAAACAATTTGTAGTCATATGAAAAAATGCTCTAAATCTGCAAATTAAAACAACTGTGAGATACCATTTTATGCCTATCAGATTAGCTAAAATGACTGAAGGAGAAAGCAACAAATGTTGGAGGGAATGTGGAAAAATTGGGACTCCAATTTATTGTTGGTGGAATTGTGAATTCATCCAACCATTTGGAGAGCATCTGGAATTATGCACAAAGAGTTATTAAACTGCCTATACCCTTTGACCCAGCAATAGCACTACTAGGTCTATTTCCAAAGAAGGTTAGGGAAAAGGCAAAGAACCTATATATTCTAAAATATTTGTAGCAGCTTTCTCTGCTCTGGCAAAGAATAAAAAATTGTGGGGATGCCCATCAACTGGGGAATGGCTGAACAAGTTGTGGTATGTGATTGTGATGGAATACTACTGTGCTATAAGAAATGATAAGTTCAAAAAAAAAAGAAATGAAATGATGAGCTTCATGATCTTAGAAAAACATAGGTAGCACGAAATTATGAAGAGCAAATCAAGAGAACATTATATACAGTAACAGCAATATTGTTTAAAGAACAACTTTGAGCAAATAAGTCATTTTTACTACTTTAAACACCCAAATTAATTACAAAGGACATATGAAGGAAGATACTGTCTTTATCCAGAGAAAGAACTGACAAATAGAAGTGTATATAGAATGATTTTATACACACGTGCACATGCACATTCACACACACACACACACACACACACACACACACACACCACATATAAACACATATAAAAAGGTAGCCTCCCCCTCGGGGGGAGAGAATAAAAAAATGAAATTTATATGATAACTTTATTATATATTTAGCAAGTTGTACATAATAGATTTGCAATTTTATATGCAATCATTTTTTATTGTACTATGTTATGGAAATGCTTGTTTTTATTCCATAAATTAAAAATAAAATAAATAATTTTTAAAAACTATTAAACAAACAAACAAAACAATACAAGACTATTCTGTACCCACCAGATTATATAATTCTCACAGGGTAGGAGGTGGAGTCTTAACCAAACAAAAAATAGAGACAATGACAAAAGATTAAATAGATAACTTTGATTACATGAAACTGAAAGCTTCTGCACAGACAAAATTAATGAACCTATAATAAGAAGGGAAGAGGTCAAATGGAAAAACTGTTTGCACCAAATTTCTCTGATAAAGCTTATATACCCAAGATATATAAACAATTTCTATATGTATGTGTATATATGTATGTACATATACGTATACATACCAAAAGCCATTAGTCATTCTCCAATAGACAAATTATCAAAGGAAATGAATTGCAAAGTATTCACAGCCACATGAAAGAATGCTCCGAATTACAAATAATAAACGAAAGGCAAATCAAAAAAACCCTGAGGTTTTGCCTGACCAGAGCAAATTGGGCAAAAAAAAAAAATCACAAATAGTTCATGTTGGTGGGGTTGTGGAATGATAGGCACACTAGTATATTGTTAGTGGAGCTGTGAAATGGTATAACCATTTTGGAGAGCAATTTGGAATTACATAAATAAAGTGACTAAAATATCCATACCCTTTGAACCGGAGACTTGTTTGCTAGTCTTATAAACCAAATAAACTATTCATAAGAAAAAAGTCCCCATATACTCCAAAATATTTATATCAGCACTTTTTGTGATAGCTAAGAATTAGAAATAAAACAGACACCCATCAATTGGAAAATGGCTAAACAAATTGTGGTATGTGAGTATAGTGGAATGTCCCTGTACTGGAAAAAATTCGTAATGTAATAAATTCAGAGAAGTATAGAAAGATCTATAAGAACTTCTGTAGAATGAAGTAAGCAGAGTGAAGAAAACAATATACACACTAATTACTAATATTAATGAAAAGAACCCCTGCACATCAAAAAATCAAAAGTATATGTAACAAAATTACAAAGATACAAGACTTGAATGAAGAGATATGAAAGGACAACCCACACCCCTAATCCACTCCTTCATGAAGATAGAAGGTTCAAAGGTCTTGCACATCGCACATGTGTTTTTGGACTTTTTCAATGTATCGATTGCTGGTGCTGATTTTTTCTCTCTTAAAAATAATATTTGTTACATGGAATGACTCTGAGTGAGGGAGGGGGAAGAATACTAGGGATAACTATTACAATATAAAATACAGAAGACAGCAATAAAAACTTATCTTTTAAATTTTTTTATTTATTTTTATTTAAATTTATTAAATAAAATCTCATTTTAAAAAATTAATTGACTTAGACTGGATATAGAGGGCTAGAGAGATTACTAAAACTTTTGAGCCTGAGTGACTAATAGAATTATTTGCAAAAACAGAGAAGTGAGGAAGGGAAGTGAGTTTGGGATGGAAAATGATGAGTGCATTTCTAGACATGTTGAGTTTGAAGTTAATGGTGGCACAACTAAATGAAAATATGTAGGAAATACTTGAAAATATGGAACTAGAACTAAGCAGAGAGATTAGGGATAGATGTGCAAGTTCTTCTTGAGTGATAAACACCTTATTTGTGGATATCCCTTACATTCAAATGGTTGAAGTAAAAGAGGAGAGAAGATAATGAAAGCAAAGAGAGAAAAGGATTGAGGGAAATGGAAAAGCCAACATCTCCTACCTATTGAACCTTATATTCCCCAAACTTCACTCTAGTCTTTCACACTGTTGCATCCCAACTGAGGCAGAACCAGCACATGATTAGTTAATTCCCCAGGTCAGAGAAGGTGGGGTCCAAGTTTGGAGACGAGCAAGTGTAAATTGAAAAAAATGAAGCCAGGTTACTTCCTAGGGGTCTGTGGAATGTCAAAAGTCAAAGGTCTGAAACAAGTGAGAAAATCATGTGGAAAATGCAACACATCTGGATCTCATGGGCATAAAGGAAAGGGAGGGGAGGGGAGGGGAGAGGAGAGGAGAGGGCAAGAGGAGGAGAGGGGAGAAGGGGAAGGGGGGAGAAGGGGAGGGGAGGGGAGGGGAGGGGAGGGAGGGAGGAGAGGGGAGAGGAGGGGCCGAGCAGGGGAAAAGAATAAGGAAAGGGGAAAGAAAAGGAGAAAGGAAAGGTGAAAGGTCCAGGTAAAAATCTTCCTTTCAGAGAAGCCAAAGGCCAGTTCAGTAAATACCAAAGTCCCTGAATGATCTCTGCTCTATGGGGGTCACTGTGTCTTGATGTTTCACCTATGCCATGAAGGTGAGCCTATACATTGTATATTGCTTAAGGGTGTCTCTTAGTAACTTCAACTATGTTATCAAGCAACTCCTAAGGTCTATTATACTTTGTGTTATACTACTGTTGTATATTATACCACTGAGAAATCCATCTATGATGGTTTTGTGCTTCAGGATAAGCAAAAAGATATATCCATAATATGATCTTCCAAGACTATTTCCTGAAGATATTCCTGACAGATCTCTAGGACTCTGTCAAATCAGTTTATGTGAACAAAGTTATTCAATACCTACTATGACTAAGGCAGTGTGCTAACTGCTGGTGATGCTATAAAGACAAAAATTACACAGCTGGTCATGGCACTTTCCTGCTCAAATCCCTTTTAAGAATCTCTATTGCTTTTGCAATAGACTCCATATTCCTGAGCCTCCACGACCTGGTATCTCTTTTCCTTTCCATCCTTTCATCATAAATCTACTCTACATATGTACTATGCTTAAGACAAGCTAGTCCTTCCCTTCCTTCATGTGCTTTTCCATTTCTTTCTTTTGCTCACCACATTCCTAATGACTAGAATATTCTCTATGCCCCCACCTCTGATTTGAAAATCTTGCTCATCTTTCAAAAACCAGCTCAAATGTATCCAAGCATAAAATAATGCTGAAAAACATAAACCAAGGATTCTTGGGGCAAAGGGGAGCATTTTCATCACTTTTGCCACTTCGGCATTATTGCATCTCAGTTTACTCATCTTAATAATGGGAATAATAGAGGGCTACATAGTTTTGCTCTGTTCTACAGACTGCACCTTTAATCCTGGCAAGTTTTGTTATAAAGGAGTGCCATTTGTCAAAAGGTAGACCAAGAGAGATGTGAAAACATTGGTTCAGGTCCGTCACTACAATTAGAATTACAATTCCAAGTACACTTTGAGAGGGTTAAGTAGTGTCAATTTCATATACAAAGAATAATTGATATTATAATGAATATCAGGGCTTATGCCCTTACATTGGACTTATCAGCTAGTATGATCCCAA